AATATTTTGTATCCTTTCAATGCCTCGTGTAAATTCGGCATAGAAAGCCATAGCATAAACATTTTGCTACCCCTTAAAGGCTTGTCATCATTAAATTTGCTTAGTTAACAAACACTTTTCGCACACATTTTTTTAAAAACTAACAAATTTTCCTCAGGCCATTTGCCCAATTATCAACTGGTGACCGCTGTGCCCGTTGTCATTTTGGACGATGAGAAAAAGTTCACTTCAAGCAGCGCAACGACCACAGCAAACACTGCAACGAGCACAACAGCAGCCATGACAACAACAACAACAACAACAACAAGCACAGCAAGCTCAGCGAGCACAGCTACGAACAGCGCAACAAGAAATGGTGAGTAAGCTTAAAAGATAAACAATATAAGAATTTCAAATATGCAGTTATTAATTATTGAAATTTTAAAGATACGATTAATTTAAAACATGATTTTAAAAAGTTAAGTGCAATGTGCAATATGGTTACCAAACGAAAGCGAAAATTCTGTAGAATTAAAAAAAAACATATTTTTTTGGTGAACAAGGACGAATAGACATTGAAAATGTCCTTTAAAACTTTATCCTTGAGATACTCAAAAATCAAAAATATCCAACAGAGATTAAAAAAAAATATATATAAATAAGCTAAGGACTCGTATAAATGCCTGTACACTGCCACATTCTCGAATTTTGTACTTCTAGTGAAATTTGAGTTTGGCAGTTCTACAGAATTTTCTCGTTAATTTTTTACCCATGTTGTCATTCTATATTTCACTTAACTTTTTAAATAATTTTTTGAACTACATAATCATAACCTAGAAATTTCAAAGTCTTAAAAAAAACCTGATGTCAGAGCTAAAAACTAGAAACTTAGTTTGCCTATATTTGGCTCCTTCTTTCATGAGTATACTGAATTTCTCATGTGTTTTACAATTTTTTGGTTTTTGTCGCACGGTGTAATCATCGAAACGAAAAGGCAATGGCCAAACTCTGAGAACTTTAGAGCTAAAACCTAATATAAAATTGTGCAAATTTTTTCCAAAATTTTCTATCAATTGCATCCACCTTCATTTAGCACTGCGCCATTTCAGTGATGCAGCGATTATGCACCGAAGTTCTTGCATGCATGCCTTCTATTCATTCTATGGCGGCATTTATTATATGAGTTGTTGTTATAATATAATTTTTTTTTTTCACGAAAAAAAACAACATCAAAAATTGCTATGTTACTGTGTAGAACGGATGTTTGCAATCTTAAACGTAAGCAAAAAACAAATTATCGAAAAGTGAATTTTTGCACACATGTATGTACGTAAGTATGTGCATTTCTGAGCGATTACAAGTACAACGGTATTTTGTAATAAAAGCAGCAAAAAAACAAATCTTTGATTTCTGGTTACTTCTTTTGTGTTAAATTTCTTTGCAATATCAAGAACACATATAGATAATTCTTCTTCTGTTATTTTTTTTTTGCTGCGCTCACGTACGAGTGCAAAGATTATTATTTTGCATTCATTGCTTGATTACGATTTCCTTTCCAATACAAACATATTAAATGGGAATAAGTAAAAAAATCTGTAAATGTACATAGGCACCTTTCAACCAAGTAGATAGTGATGTGTAAATTTTATTCGATTCGAAGATAGAAATTTTTTTTTAAACCAGTTAAAAGTCGGCCAATCGGTCGACATTTAATAAAATTCATATATATCAGAAGTTTGCAGTCAAATTTTTTGGGAAAATCCTTCCTCCTTCTATCCGTTAATGAAATGGAGCGGCTGCTCCGAAAACTTTCAGACAAGTGGCTTTATTGCTTTTCGAAGTATTCTCCGGACGATCAAAACACTTTCGCATTTGTTCAATCCATAAAGAATAAAACCATAAATATAATAAAGTCATTGGCGCCACACCAAGACTGTATGGTGGAAGAGCCAATGATTCAGTGTTTTCCCTGGCGGTTGTTGTTGCACCTCGCTCGAGCTTCGGCCGAATTTTTACACCAATTCATAAGATCTTTTTTTGATTTGTTTCCGGTTGCTTGGGTTTCCGGCAGGGTAGGAATATGATGTATTATGAAAGGATTTTCCGTCATCTCTTGCCAAATATGGTTTGGAAACAAACTAAAGCCATTTTTCAAGCATGCATACAATCAGCTTTTTAATAATTTAGTATTTGAAAATACATTTGTAGTAAGTACCTACATATGTATATACATATCGCAGGCAATTTAATGTTTTCAACTTTCACATCACTAACCTCACTCTTCGTAATTGACTACAATCATTGAACTGTTAACACACATTCGCAGAAAATACGATTTTTTTATGCTGTTATCTATATATTCTTTTAAATTGGATTTTTTCATATGATTTACTTGGCCTCTTACTCGTGTTCTCCTTTTTTATTTCATGTGCTTTTATTAACTTCAAATTGCCTTAATTTTCTTGCCAATCAACTGCAGCAATCTGCAGCCAAAGAGGCCGTTCTTTTTTATACATTCAATTTTTATACATAAAAGTGTGTGTATACATTTGTCTTTATAGACGGCATACAAATGTAGGGCCTGCAAATCAATCTCGGTGCTGAAATGTATACCAAACCGAGCAAATTAAAATTATTAAAATTTAAATTCTGCCATTTGCTAGATTATTACAATATATTTTCGAAAGTAATTATTTATTGAACTACAGGGGGGTTCCTATATTAATTATTATTTAGTTAGCCTTCGATTGTGCTAAAGTTTGCTTTTCAAATTTCAATTTATAAATAATCAACTTGATAAACTTGAACTTTCGAGCCCTATGTATGCGCATGAGGGTGGCCCTTAAAAACTCAAATTTACGATATTTTTTTCAGTCTCACCCCTCAATCGGTAATACCACGGTCACAAATATCGCATATAAATTTTGGTACCGATTGGAGACGGTTAAGGCGTTTCGCACATAAAAACATATAAATTTTGGTCCCGATTTGAGTGGCCACTCTATACCCGTTCCCGATCGAAACCAAAATTTAAATTAAATAAAAATTTGCTTGCTACATTTAAGGACCAGCCTAATGCATATATATATGGATGCAATCACAGAAGCCAGAAAAGCAAACATTGGTTTTGTGAGCTATCGAAATACACTTAATTCTGCATTAGCATAAAAAAATTAACACAAAAAATCGGATGCTAAATGGAAATAAATATTTGCAAGTTTTTAGTGTCATGAATACACCGTGCGACAAACACAAAGAAGAATCAAAACACACGAAACAGTCAATATACTCACGAAACTTTGGGGCAAAAATAGAAAAACTGCGTTTTTAGTTTTTCCTTTCAGACGGAAGGATTTTTTTAAAGGACTTTTTTTAAGTTGATAAAGTTAGGAGGACGAAATTCGAGGATGTGGTCGTGTATATACTAGTCTTCAACATTTGATTTTATCAAAAATAAATATTGCAAATGTTCTGGATATTCAAGGACAAAATTATGGAAGGACATTTTCCATGCCCATTCGTCCTTATGCACCAAAAAATTTAATTTTTTTTCCAATCTTACAGAATTTTGTCTTGTCTTTGACATCCACGTTTTTATTTTACATTGCAATGAATTTTTAAAATAATTTTTTGAATTAATCGTATTTTTGAAATTTTGGGGTCCTCTTGAAAAAAATTCCGGACGTCATAGAGAAAAACAAGCGCAGTTTAATTATATTTTGCTCATAGTTTCGCGAATATATCCATTGTTTTTTCTTTTTGTGTAAAATTTACTGTCGGGCGATATGTGGCGAAAAATAATAAATAAGGCAGTTATTAAGAGCAATAAAGACACAATAGATAGTAATTGTGCACAGAAGCCAAAGTCAATATTTTTTAAACAACTGAGAAAAAATCGAAAATTTTAATAACGCCCCGCAGCCAAAAGCGAGCCCGGTTTCATTGTTATGTGGGATAGAGAGCAAAACCTAATTCATTAAAGTGATGTAATAAAAAATTTATACAAAATAAATTGAAGAGTTGAAGTTTGTTAGCACGCGAGCGCATTGAACTTGACTACAGTTGCACACTAAAGGTAAAATGTGCCGTATACATGCTGAAGTTAACGTAATCAGTTTATTTTTGTTTTTGGTGCGGTCACTGTGGCTGAGTGGTTAGAGTTGGGTTCAATACCCTCTGCAGGGGATGGCCAAGATGCCTTAGGTTGGAGGCACGCTTAAGGGCTCCGAGACCCAATGTAATACTATTGTGGTTCGTTGTTATTGTTGTTGAAGCGGCACCTCTAAGCCGCGCCTATTTCGGTTTATCCATTAACCGTTGTCGTCCAGCACAACTAACGGTAGGTCCAAAAAACGGGCACTTTCAACGAGGTCGGGAAAAATGGAGAGGGGTGTTAATAGAGTGGGATTGAGCTGGCATTTGAAGTGGTGGTTGATGTCGTGCGGGGAGTCCCCACATGCCGGACACTCATGAGGGATATTGGTGTCGAGTCTGGACAGGTAGCTGTTGAAACGGCTACAGTATCCGCTCAGCCGCTCAGAAATGCTGCTCAGTGCGTGGCCACTTCAACAGTGTTTTATATGTTTTAATTTTAAGCCGCTCATCGCTCAGCCGCTCGCCGCTTTTCTGCTCATTGCGTGGCCTCGGCCTTACGGGGGTCTCTATAGCAGTTGAAGTTCCGTGTCCGCCACAGGTGGTGATTGGGCTCCAATCACGGCATACATAGGCCCGGAGCCGTGGTAGATGTGTCCGACTCCCTATGAATGCCGTTGATCACTCGTCCGTTCCAATGGTTGGTCGATGTATGTCCGGACCGCTTCCATGAATACGTATAGGTGCCCTCTGACGTTCCTGGTCAGAGGCTCCTTCTCGAGCAAGGGTCTGTTACAGTGCGCGCGTCTGTATCATCCCACCAGAAACTGCTTGCTGAGCATTTTGCTCTGCTCCCTTACCAGGTGGTGAACAGGGTCGCCGTTGAGTTCGTTTGGGAGAGCGTTAGGCTCCTTGCAGGAAAGAAGCAAGAAGCTCGGAGAGATAGCCGTTTACTTTTAAGCAGAGGTTATGAATTCCATTGAGCAGTCGTCAGCGTATGAGTTCAGGGAAATTCCCTACGGTGGCTGAGGGCGCTTCGAAATGTAGAATTTAAAAAATAAGGGAGAAAGGACACCACCCTGTGGAACCCCTTATTTAATTCTTCTAATTCAGTTTTTGGTAGGAAAATCATTTAGCTTGCCGATTAAACGATGAATTAAATCTTTGAGCTCATATCCGTCCGTAGAAAAAGTTTTGGTGTAGGCAAAAGCGATAAATGGCGGCCAAATGGATAGACACTCTCAATTTCCTCCTTGCCCCTAGAGATGAGTCAAGAATCATTTT